AATATTGGAAGTTATGTATATATTTAGAAGATATATATATATGGGTATGTGTTTAAAGAAATGTTGATTATCTTTTAGTATAATAAATATGGTACAAATTTCATATATTTACAGGAAAGATTTATGAATGTTTCTGAAAATTGTATTATAAATCTTAAATTAGACATGGCTTCTATGGCAACTGAATAGTGGGAGACAACTAGTTTAATTAAGTTTTAAAACAGTATTAATATACTTAATTATAAGTGAACATCTTGAGACCGTGCAGCTCAAGTAGCAATCACAGTAGTGAAATCCTTTGGTTTTTCTTCAGCAATGATAATGAAAGTACTGACGTCTAGTTCCTAGCTTCTTGAGTCATCACAGGCAGTTTTCTATTGGGAAAATCTCATAGCATGAATAAACAATTTTCCTGAGTGCCTCACTTTAGTCTGGCACCAGATCTTGATTCTGTGGTCCTTCCAGAAATTCTGCAAGCTAACTTAAATCCTATAATAAATTCCTCTATACTTAAAACTATCTAGAGTGATTCTATTGCCCAACCCAACGCTGATAAAAAACAGGGAGTAAACTCTTACATGTTTATTCCTTCAGTTATTCCCCCTTTTATTAATCAGCAATTTTCCATTCATTTTTGTTCTTCTGTAGCTTCCTGAAATTATTCATTTACTAATAGCCCTTTAATCACTTTCTATTTCTGCATAAAAAAGTACCACAAACTTAGTGGCTTACTAGCTCACAGTTCTGTAGGTCAGACATCCTGGCAAGCTTGTCTGGCAGGCTCAGCTGGGTTCTTTCATCAGTGTCTAAACAAGGCTGAAATCTAGGTGTCAGTCAGGCTGTACTCTTTATCTAGAGGCTCCAGGGAAGAATGTGCTTTCAAAGTTACTCAGTTGTTGGCAAAATCCATCTCCTTACTTCTATAGGTTTAAAGTCCCCATATCCTTGCTGTCCACTAGAGCTGCTCTCTTCTAGAGCCCCCAACATTCCCTGCCATGTGGCCCCCTCGATCTTCAATGCCAGCAAAAAAAATCATCCTTTCATTCTAACTTCTCCTTCTGCTATCAGCCAGAGAAACTGCTCTGCCTCTTAAAGTGCTCATGTGATTAGATTAAGAATACCTGAATTTTCACTCTTCTGATTAACTCAAAGTCAACTGATTAGTAACCTTAATTTCATCTGCAAATTCTCTCTTGCCGTGTAACATGACATAATCACAGGAGTGATGTCCAATCATATTCACAGGGAAGGGAATTATATAAGGCCAAGCATCACTGGGGTCATTCTTATAATTCTGCCTACCTCAGCCTTCCCTAGTTCTCTTCACTGTCAGTGGTTGAAGTCTTTCCCACCTCCCCACCCCCCACCATAGGCTCTTCAGATAAAGGAGAAACTGACATTATGTACTCAGTCTGGCATCTTAACCTAAAAATCACAATCATACTACTTATATTACACTTGGATGTGCAAAAAATGAAGTATATTTTCTCTATAACTTATCTAATCTCCTTTGCTAGCCCCTGCCCTACTTGACCACAAGGGAAAAGAATCTTAGCTGTAAATTTAGACTTATTTAATAATTAAGCAGTTTTTTTAGATAAATGCTTTTATGGATAAAAAATGTTTAGAACTTCAGATTTTCACCCATCTTCTATTTCTTTCCAAAAAAGTACATGTATGTATGAGGAAAGTGAAGCCTAGGTGGCCATGTGTCTCATGAGAAAAGATGGGGACCCTGACAATTCCCCCTGGATTCTTGCTGGACATTTCTGCAGTGTAGCCAGTCTGACCTGCTCCCTGTTGGTGAACACTGAGCTGTGACTAGCCCCCTATGACTTTTTTAAAAAGGTGTCATGTTCGCACTTCCCACTGGAATAGTTGGTTCTACTTGCTTCCAGTCTTTTAAGTCACTGAGTGCTGCATCTTCTTTGTCACATACCAGTATTCTGCCTTTCCTTGTGCCCAGTCCCCAGAGGTAAACACAAACTTCTATATTTATTGCATGTCTTTAATCCTTGACAACCAGGACATTACACCCAGTTCATTTAACTATCTGGCACTTTTACATATTGTTCACCGTGTGTTAGACATGGCACTAAGCTAAGAGCTGAAGTGTCCTAGTAACCTGTACCTCTCTGACACTATTCCACAGGTATGCCCCACCTCATCCACTCCAGGATTCTCAGGCTTTCCCCAACCCATCAAAATGTTTCAATCCACCCCTCCCCATACTCCCAACCTCACCCCAACACACATACAGCCACTTGAGATGGGCAGCTGAATTGTTCCATGGACTTCTGTTACTTCTTCCTACAATCCCCCAGAGTCTTCTCTTCCATAAAACTCCAAGGTCTAAAGCACTAGGCCCAGTTTTTTGTATGTTAAATTACAGTTACAGAAAGGTATTAATTCCTGTCTGTCATTACCAAATTGCGTTGCTAAAGAGGCTAAAAATTAATTCAAAATTTATCAGTGACATCTCTGTTCCTAGCAGTAAACACCTTCCCCTTCCCTGGGGCAATATGCCTCAAAACATACCTTGTAAGGATACATTTTGAATTTAAGGGAGAAATTTAATTCCCTGATTTATTATTTGCAAACCATTATCCTGGTCACAAGGAGCCCTGGTGGCGCAACGGTTAACAGCCCAGCTGGTAATCTTAAGGTTGGCAGTTGGAAACCACCAGACACTCTGTAGGAGAAAGATGTGGCAGTCTGCTTCTCTAAAGATTTAAAAAAAAACAAACCCATTGCAGTGAAGTTCCGACTCATAGCGACTCTATAGGGCAGAGTAGAACTGCCCTATAGGGTTTCCAAGGAGCAACTGGTGGATTTGAACTGCCAACTTTTTGGTTGGCAGCTGAGCTCTTAACCACTGCACCACCAAGGCTCCGTCTGTAAAGATTACAGCCTTGGAAACTTTATGGGGCAGTTCTAATCTGTCCTATGAGTCCTATGAGGGCCACTATGAGTGGGAAACAACTCGACAGTGCACAAAAACAACAACAATCCCTGTCATACACTCTTCAGAGATAAAGCAAACATATGGGCTAGTCACCTGGCTATAAAAATGTTTTTAGTCTTAACTGACAGATACAAAAACAAATGCCTTACAGCTAGACTGAAGTTCTGTCTAGCAATCTGTGTTTTCTTTTTAACTTTCTTAAAAAATGAATACTGTTATTTTTACAATCCCCCCAAACTGAATTTATGAACCTATATTCAGTTTACATAATGACTATTGTATCTTAAACAAATGGTCTTTTTAAAAATGATGTTTTTCACACATGCAGCAAGTATCATTATCTAATTACAGTAAGTAAAACACACATTTTAAACAACTATTTGCTATTGCTTCTTTTTCAAAATTATCTTTAAGCTAATTCTTAAGTATATATGTGAATTAAATATATTTTATATATATTTATATTCTGAAATATAAATGTATATAATTCTTAAAAATACACAGAGAGAGAGAGAGAGAGAATGGTAGTTGAATAAAGCGCCTCCACTTCAAAACTCAGCTCATCTTGTATGTAGAAAATGTAGCTTCACATTATTTTCAGTTTTTAAAATTATAAGTATTAACACATAAAATAAGTGAATTCACTTTATATATATTTGCTTTTATTATAAGGTTTTCTCCTAATTTATAATGTTTTACTTTATAATGTAGCATCTTGATGCTAAAGTTAGAAGTACTGCAGTATGTATTTAGTTGTTACTAGTCAGAATAGGAGAACAGAAATAAAATTTAGTAAGTTAAAACCTTAGACCTGGAATTGGATGGGTTTTAATCTAGATACTTCACATGTGAAAGCTGTCATGACCTACATCTTTTCTCCTGGTGTGTCCTTTTCCATCTTCTCCTCTCCTGCTCTTGACATAACCGGGTTGTGGCCTCCTCATATGATACAATGAGACAAATGTCCTCTATCCTTGTTAGTATTACTTAGCTACCAAGTGATTTTATCTCCCGATTTCAATTTCTTAGAAAAATTCTGGTAATACAGCTTCTTTACTTAACCCATGCTTTATTACACCTCTTCCCCTAGAACATAATGACAAAACTCAGAGATTATTTGAATTATTTGGTCAAAATTGCATAACTTGAAAACCTCATTCCTTTGAGCAGAGATTCGTAAACTTAGAGGCCATGTACCCAGAGTCAGTGGATACACACACACATCCTACCCAAACCTGCAATTTAGTGATGCTCCCCTCGATTTAAGACCAACACATAAATACACTCGAGTTATGATTCTAGCTCCCTAGAGGTTAGGCCTGCTGTCTTCTACATTTTTGGTCTTCCTCTAGCGACCGTGCATATAGTAGGCAATTGGTTAATGTTTATAGAATATTGTTGCATGTCAACAATTACGCAGGGCTTTCTGATGAAGAGCAGCCCTGGTGGTGCAGTGGTTAAGCGCTGGACTGCTAACTGAAAGGTCAGCCTCTGCAGGAGAAAGATGTGACAGTCTGCTTTCCTAAAGATTACCTACAGCCTTGGAAACCCTATGGGGCAGTTCTACTCTGTCCTACAGTGTCGCTAGGAGTCCGAATCGACTCCACGGCAATGGGTTGTTTTGGCGTTTGCTGTTTTTCTGATAAAGACAATGATTTTAAAATCACAGGATGATTTTAGCATCCAGAGCCCAAAACGTAACCGGATTGTCCAGTATCCTAACATACATATTTCCACCAGCCCTATGGGCGAGGAACCAAAAGAAAGCAAACCATCTGCAAGAGATCTGACAGCTATGCCTTTAGCTGCCAGGTTTTAAGTCGGCCAGCTGGCTACCGGAAACACTCCTCAGTTAGGAACAACACTTGAGGAAGGCGCGGAGGCGGGTCGGAACTGTAGAATCGACGCTCGCCTGCACCTTTGTGGCTAGCCCTTGCCCGGCGCAAGGCACGCTGGGACACCGCAGAGCCCAACCACCGTCACCAAGGAAACCAGCTGCCACGCCGTTGTCAGGGAGGTCAGCCTGCGCACCGCAGAGCCTAATCGAGGTGCTGCCTCTGCCTGCACTTAGGCAGGATGCTTCGCCGAGGCTACAAGAGCTCTGAAAGGCGAAGATACGTGAGCGACCGCCTTAGCTGGCAGCAAGACCAGGCGTTGAGTAGCAGCATCTACCTTCTACGAGAGATGGGCCCCACTGGCTTCCTACTGAGGGAGGAGGAGCCGGAGAACAGGCATTTCCGAGTAACTTCCGCCCCCTCGCCCCGTCGGCCTGTCCGGCCCGCCGGGTTCCCCCTACGCCTACCCCGTGTCATTAGCCACCCTCACAATCCCTGTGGACACTCGCTACCGCACCCCAAAGTCGCACGCATCCCCGCGACTGTCCCAGACCCAAAGATAAGCAATTACAGAGAGAAACAGTATTTGTTAGAAAGGTTTAATTTTTGGAGGCTAGGACTCCAAATTGCATCCAGCTCGTAAGATGACAGACGTTGATTTTTAGGCCTGAAAGAGTGAAACGTTTTATATGAGTATATGGTTTGTATTATGTCCATTCTTGGCTCTGTTTTTCGCGGTCACTAGCCCTGTTAATCAAGCGAAGTGAAACTCCTACAATCTGCTTGCATACCTTAAATAGCTGCTAAGTAAATAAAATAGGTTTCCCTTTATTCTTTACTCATTCTGAACCCATAACATGGTCCTTTTAAAGTATGGTTTAAAATGGCGATGCCTTGCAAGTCTTAATGAAAAAAAATTATTTTTAATTTTGCCGAAAGATCACAGATCTTCATTTTTGTATATCCTACCCGCACCACTGAAAAATCATCCACGTACCACATCCCAAGAGTTGATTTGGAAATTTTTAGTTTAGTGTCATGCATTTCAAGTACTGAATACGGTTTACTAGTCCGTGTTTTTTTAAGACGTCAATTTTTGTAAGACGTCAATTTTTGTTTTACTTTGTTGCTTACACCACTTTTGTATTTAATAAATTGTTTTAGTTAATATAGTCTAACCCTTCGTGAATACAATTAAATTTCTTAAAGGAAACTCACCAGTTTAAATGCACAAAATAAAAATCCAAGTTGAGCTACCTTATGAAAGCTCTTGCAGTCCCTGGTGGTGCAAATTTTCACGCTGGAGAAGTTGAGTGGTTCCGGTACACCCAGAGGCAACTGGGAAGAAAGGCTTAACAGTCTATTTCCGAAAAATCCATTGAAAACCCTACCGAGTACAGTTCTACTCTGACACTCATAGAGTTGATCGCAACTGGTGGATAAAAGGTCTTTAGCTCCACTCCCAAGGTAGAATTTCCTTACAGTACTGCTGCTACCAGTTGCCCAAAACAAACAAACAAACTGCCATCCAGTCAATTCCAACTCATGGCGACCCTCTATGACAGAGTAGAACTGCCCTATAGGTTTCCAAGGAGCGACTGGTGGGTTTGAACTGCCAACCTTTTGGTTAGCGGCTGTATCTCAACCATTGCACCAGCAGGGATACCAGTTGCCAGTAGAGTCTATGCAGATTCATGGTGACTCTGTGTGTGTTGGGAGTTAAACTGTGTTTCATAGGGTTTTTGATGGCTGGTTTTTTAGAAGTAGATGGCCAGGTCTTCCTTATGAGGTGCCTCTGGTAAGGATTGCTAAATAGTGGTTTGCGAGAGTTTATAGAATTTTTTTTTTTTTTTTTAGCCTATAAAATTAGATGTATTTTCACCTGCCTGAGTACAGTTCACTTAAAAGGGGTCTTAACTGATAATGCAAGTTGTCGACCAAGGCAAAGAATACCAAACCAAACCCACTGCCATCAAGTCGACTCCAACTCATAGCAACCCTTTAGGACAGAGTAGAATTGCCCCATAGGGTTTCCAAGGAGCGCTTGGTGGATTCAAACTGCCGACCTTTCGGATAGCAGCCGTAGCTCTTAACCACTACATCACCAGGGTCCTAGGCAAAGAATATGGAGGTGAAAGTCAGTCAAGAGTTAAGATTGCGCCGTAGATTGTGTTCAACCTTTTGGGTACACCAGTGGTTAAACACTCAGATGCTAACAAAAAGGTCAAAAAGGAGCCCTGGTGACTCAGTGGTTAAAGCGATCAACTGCTAACCGAAAGGTCGGTGGTTTGAAACCACCAGTGGCTTCATGGGAGAAAAGATGTGGCAGTCAGCTTCGGTAGAGATTTACAGCCTTGAGTACCCTTTGGGGTCGCCATAAGTCAGAATCAACTTGACGGCAGTGGGTTTTTGGGTTTTGGCTAACTTAAAGACCTGCACGAACCCACCAGCCACTCCACAGGAAAAAGATGTGGCAGTATGCTTCCATAAAGATTTACTACCTTGGAAACCCTGTGGGGCAGTTCTACTCTGTCCTCCAGTTCCGCTGTGAGTTGGACTCCGCTCGAAAGCAACAGGTTTGGTTTTTTGGTTTAAACTATTTTACATCTTCAAGTCCCTTTTAATCCCATTATCTATCAAATTAGTTTTGCTCTAACTAAAAATCAACTTACATTTTTAAACAGTATGCATTTTTTTTAAAGGTGTTCCTAGGAAATCCTCATTCTTGTAACTGTCCCACATTTCTGAAAGAAAGGGATCTTTGTAAGCATATCTGCTGGTAAGTGACCTTGTAATGAAGATCTTCCACAAAGGAACATCTTCGTGTGTTACATGGTTTTCGTTTTTCATGATTTGAGTACTGCAAGATTAAAGAAATTTGGTATTTGGGGAATATAACATTAAATGGTCATAGCTTACCAATATACTTTTCAGTATTTTATTACATTCTGCAAATTGAGTAAGGTTTAAATTTAGAAACATATTACCACCTCACCACGTTCTTTATGTTAATGTTTTTAATAAGAAAAAAACCAATCTTTAGATTCTCATGATATACAAATGTGAACTCTAACTATAAAACAGAAAAAAAAATTCACCTCATTGATAGTAATTATATGGTTCATTATGGAACATTACTGTTCTTCAAGAACCTTCTATTCCCCAAAATACAGGTTGATTGAGAATCAATTTGTTTGTATTTTTCTTGTATAGACACAGGAGTTGAAAGTATTTACCCTTTCCATTCATACTGGCCTAGATTGGCCAAGTTTCAGAAAATTTTCCTTTTCAATAACTATTTGACGATGAATCTTTCATGACGGAAGTAGGACTCTACTGGAAATTACTTCTGTAGAATCTGAAACTTTTCCTCTAGTGCCAGAACTTAATTGTTTATAGGGAATTCCCCAGAAATGAAAAATTTTTTTTCACTCAATTTAGTTGAAACGAAACTAAACTGATTTTGTTTTACCTGCCAATACTTAGTTACAAATCATTAGTAACATTATTATAGAAGAAAATTTGTTACTTGGGAAAAAAATCAGAGATATTGAGAAAACAGTGTGTACCTCATATTTCTAATGATTTTATTTACCAAGTTTGTTGTTGTTGTTGTGTTGTTTTAATCATTTTTATTGATCATCTGCTGACACAAGTTACCTGGCATAAAGATATAAAATATGGTCCTTCCAAAACTTAGAATTTGGTATTACAATTATTCTTAAAATAGGTTTTTTCCATTTTTATTTTATGTCAGCTTCCTTAGGGCAGGGCATTGTATTCTAATTTTTATGTAATTAACTCATTTTGTACAGTATATTAACCATAAATTCAGTGAAATATAATCCAAATATTTAATATCTTTCTCACTCTAAAAATAAACGTCATATTACATTTTAATTGGTGAAGTTTGAAAAATCTTTTTTAATGTCATGCAGTATTTTTCCTGTCATATATGTAGAAAAACAGTCATTTGATACTATATCCAGAAAATTACTTCATTTCCAGGGAAGTTTAAAGAAAATAATATGAATACATAAATTTTGTCACTAACTTCTCTCTGTGAATGACTATATATGTCGTAAAGAAATGCATGGAATCCTTCTGGCAAGTATCCATATTGCAAAGCTATTTTGTTTCCATTAATCACCTTTTTTTTCACATCTGCTTTTTTAAAACATAAATTTAACTACTATTATAACAGAAGAACTGATGAGAGTTTCAAGTTTATTCATAATACTTTCAGAAATATGAATAGTATAATGTTATTCCTATTCTAAAATTAAATCTAAATAATGACTTTTGAGATTATGTGAGAAGTAAATCTTTAATTTCTGTCTTTCTACTTCTGAAATTAGGGTCTTGTTGAAAAAATTCAAGCTTCCAAGGAATCATGAATGTAAGTTTTATTCTTTACTAATTTTAATTAAATAAATTTAAGAATTTTTTATTTAGACATATTCTAAATGTAGACAGTTATTTTTCTAGAGAATCTGACAGCTTTCTGGAGCGCAGCTTATTTATACTTAAAACAGTTGGAACTTTTTTCTTCCTCAATATAAAATGTAACTTTGTATGCCGTTTTCAAACTCGATGGCACTTAATAAAAAGAGGGATGGAACAATGGCCAGGAATTGGGTACAAAAAAATTCCTCCATTTATTTTAAGCAAAAGTTTGCAGTGATTACTATATCTAAACTTATTTTAATTGTGAGAAAAATAGCAGGTATAATATTTTAGATCCCAGTAGTAGACATTTATGGCACATAATTTCATTCAAAAATGTTTACTGACTGAAATTTTTATGCATGAAATAATTTTTTAAAGTAAATAATAACTTTTATGTTGGTACTTAATTATGAGTTTAGAATCAGGCTTATTGTTGTATAACTTTAAATTCCGGATATCCCAAAAATAAAAGAAAAGGAAAACAAATTTTATAAAAGGTATTTCAAGTAAATTTTATAACAAAGACACTGCCATTACAGAAGTGTTCCCTGCAGTTGAGGAGTTGTTTGACCTATACTAGACTGATGTAAGAACTACACTGCGTTGTTCATAAATAAATTGACAATCAGTTTTCAATTTTTTTTTAAATTCAAAAAGTCTTGATTCCATTTTGTACTCTTTTCTCATTCCCTATATATCCCCTTAGAAATATCTCCCATTTTCTTTTACTTTCTTACCTCTATACCATTAATTCCAACATCTTATCAATAGACCGATATTTCCAGCTGTCTTCTGTGCAGCTCCATTTGGAGGTCCCTCAGGCATTTTAAATTTCCCCATAAGTATCCCTGTCTTGTATTCCCTACCTCGCATGTCGGCTTTCCTTTTTTAATCAGCAAAGGTAGAAACTTTAGAATTCTCCTTGATTTCTCCTCTCCCATCCTCTTCTCCCATAGATCTAGTCATTCTACAAATCATTTATTTTACATCCTAACTATATCTCAGAGGAGCCCTGGTGGCACAATGGTTAAGCACTTGGCTGGTAACTGAAAGGTCTGTGGTTTGAATTCACCAGCCACTACACGAGAGAAAGATGTGGCAGTCTGCTTCCATGAAGATTACAGCCTTAGAAACCCTATAGTGCAGTTCTATCTACTCTGCCCTATAGGGTCAGTATTAGTTGGAATCAACTCAGCGGCAGTGGGGTTTAACTATATCTTAACAGTAGTATTCCCATGTCATCATCCTCATTTTCACCTTTGTTCAACTTTCATCATCCTGTAGTACTATCTTTGTAGCCTCCTTTTTTCCTGTGCCTCCTTCACACTTAGACAAAAGGTTCTTTCTAAAATGTCACTTATGCTCTCCTCCATCCTCTCTCCCAGTCCCTTCATGCACAGTAGTTAGATTATATCATTTCGTACATATTTTTTCTTTTCTATTTCTCCATTTTGTCCACCTGAAGTTAAATTTTCACCTCCTTTCCCAAGTATTAGTTATTCTCTACAGTTTTTTCATAACATTTTGAAAAAGCTTCTATACTAGGGCTGTCTACAAGAAACATAATGCAAATTACATATTTAATTTTAAAATTTCCAGTAGCCAGATTAATAAAGCTAAAAAAAGGTAAAATTGTTTTTAATATATATTACCAGATATATCAAAATATTATCATGTCAACATGTAATCAGTATAAAAATTGTTGAGATATTTTACATTCTTTTTCTTTTCACACTAAGTCTTCGAAATCTAGTATATATTTTTTACTTACAATGCATCTCAATTCAGACACATTTTTCATAGGAAATACTTGATCTGCATTTAGACTTCATGAAATTATCAGTTGAAAAATTCACATAATACCCAAATTGTGACAAATATACTTAAAAGTTTTCTAAGTTTTTAAATTTAAGTAAACAAAATTAAAAATTCAGTTTCTCAGTCACACTAGCTGCATTTCAAGTGCTCAGTAGTCACATGTGGCTGATAGCTACCATATTGAACAGCTCAGCTCTACCCAATTAAATTCAACAAATATTCTATTGCCTATTAGCCAGGTATGCTGCTAGATGCTTTTTGTATATTGAATCATATTAATTGCTAATGTTCTAATATTTTTGATCTATAAAAACAGCAATTTCAAATGAATCAATTTTTTGTTATATTATTCTTGGAACTTCTTGAAGGCAGAAACCATATCTTATTCTTTTTATAAATATCATTCTACAATAGGTGCTTACTGAATTTTAAATTTAATTCTGTATATTAATTTTTGAAAATTTATGCTTCCTACTGAAATAAAAGATTTTTCATATTTCCTATATTTAAAATAGCCTTGGTGGCATAGTGATTAAGAGCCTCGGTGTAACCCAAAGGTTGGCAGTTCAAGTCCACCAGCTGCTGCTTGGAAACCTATGGGGCAGTTCTGCTCTGTCCTATAGGGTCACTATGAGTTGGAATTGACTTGATGGCAACAGGTTTTTGTATTTAAAAGAATTTTTAGTTAGTGAAAATTGAGAAAATCTCATGTGCACAGTGTAATACTAGACAGTATAGAAATATTCAAAGGAAATAGGAGTCTTAGTTAATTACCTTGAAATTTGTTACTTAAAGCTAGAAAAAACATACATGAAAACTACAATAATCCAGAGAAAACTATAAACAGTTTACATTAGGATTATGTAAAGTATGTATATAAGCGTAGAGGAGATGGTTACTAGTAATGGAGGAGGAGTGTTTTGAACATCATTCATAGATTTTTTTTCTAACACAAATCTGGAAACAATTATTTGCACCCTAGTATTACATACATGAAACCTGAAATTCTCATTTTTTAAAACCTGCTGAAGTGGCTATACGGCAGTTTTATTATGAAAAATACCAGTTTTTGAATACTGAACACTCTTTTTTCCCATTATCCAGCAAAGGTGTTCCCAAAAAAAGCTAGATTTATCACTTGAGCATTTCCTCTAAATACAATGACTAGTAAATGTCATTTGTTCTTTTTTTTATTAAATATTCATGCATAAATAAAAGCATCATTAATTTTTTTTAATTCTCACCACAAAGATATAGTTAACTTTTTATTTTCAATTTTCCTTTTATGATTTTATATATATAAATACCTAATAGTCTGTTGTAATTCTATGCTCTGCTTTTATCACACACTGTTACTTTATAGTTTCAGTACTACACAATCTCCATAATTAGCTTCATCAATTGCTACATAATATTCCTCTGAAACCATAATTCATTTAATATTTTTCCAGTATTAGACATTTATCTGTAAATATTTGTTATAGTCTTTGTACATGAAGCTTTTTCTTCTTTTCAAATATTTCTTTAACCAAAATTCTCATTTAGTTTGATTTTGGAGTAAAAATATTAATGTTTTTATGTCTGCCTCCCATGTGTATTGCCAAATTGCTGTTTAAAATAATTTTACTGATTTACAGTGATTTCAGCAATATATAAATACTATGTTGGTTTTGCTAGTTTTGGGGTTCATGTTTAACAATGTTACTGAAGTATATAAAGAAAGATAGTAACAGCATATTTAAGTCCCCAAAGATTTTAATTAAAGACACATGGAAACATTTTGACATTAATATTTCTATAATTTAGAAAAAAAGACTCACTCAAAATGAGAAAAATGTCAGATACAAGGTTCATATTAATCTACTTATGCTTAGTAAATAAAGAAGAAGGTAGTTTCCATTCTCTCATACATCTGACATACCCTTACCCTTACCCATTGCCGTCGAATCGATTCCAACTTGCCATCAAGTGACCTTTTTAAAAGAGAAATAGTAAAAGGCAAAACAAAAACAAAAACCCATAACATTTGTTCATTATTGCTTATTCAGTAGTATTTATTCAGTTTTGTTAATTCATCCTTTTCTTTGACACTAATGAAATTGAACATCTTCCATTGTGTTGTTTTCTATTTGCATGTCTTCATATATGAATTGCACTTTGGCTATTTACTTACTGGAATAAAATTGTAAACTCTTCCTAAATATTATAGGGATTACCCCTTCTTTGCAAATTTTTCCTAATCTATTATAATTCTTTCTAATATGGCTTTATTAAATTTTTTTATACATATAGATTTTTGGTGTGTTGCTAAATCTAACCCTTTTTTCCTTTCATGTTTATTGTTTCAATCCTTTAAAAGTTATCTTTTTTCCATGGTATTGATATTCTTTTGGGTTTTTGTTTTTTGTTTTTTTCCTGCTAGTTTTCCTAATGTTTTTATTTTTATTCTTTATCATAGTATCCATTTACAGTTGTATTAGTATAAGTTTGAGGTTGGTATTGGGTTTCAATTAATAAAATTTCTCTGTATTTCCCCCAGTTACCTCAATAACAGTTATTGGATAGTGCTTGTTTTTATCTTTGCTTTTGATGCTTATTATTTGATGAGTTCTTATGTATTTTTATTGTTTTTAATAACACATTGTGATATCTGGTAAGGTTAACTGCCTTGCTCTTCTCTTTCAGAATATTCTTCTATAGTGTCATACATTAATTTTCAAAATTAATTTCAGAAAAGTTTGTTTTTATTTTCCAATTCGTGTTATACCACATGGAACAGGTTATGGCCTGCTGCGTTTATGAACTTTTATACTTCAGCATTTCTGCTGCCACAGAGAATCTTTATTCCCAAAACTGCTATCTCTTGTTCTTCCTTTTCTTCCCCTTTTTAGAGAGCAGATGTTGCTGTGTCTTTGTGACAAGTAGCCCTCCTCCCACAAAGTAATTGTTAATTAAAGTATTGACACCCTCCCACATCCCACCTGCCACCCCATTGCAGACAAGGAACAGAGGTTTCTGTGATGAAATCTAACTGTGATGTTTTCAGTATTTTTAATGTTTAAGACAATGGGTGTCTTTTCAGAAAAAAAAAAATGGAGCTGTTCATTACCTTGCAAATAATTTTTTTTATCTGTATGTACAAAAGAAAGTATAAAATGAGGGGAACTCATAACAGCTTGTAGTTAAATTATAATGTGTTAAGGAGAAGCAGAGGGAAAGGAGAAGGAGCATGGGGATAGGCCAGGGAATAGAACTCTAGGATTCCCTGATCAACTATAGGTACTCAGAACACAATTTCTTTTAAGAATAGCAGGATGGCAAAAACTTAGAATTCAAAGAATGTACATCCCAAGAGTACAAGACAATATAGTTCCTAGTAGATTGTCCTGAGAGATACTGACCAAATCTGTAAAGGATGCTGCTGCCAGGACTATACAAAACTAAGACAAAAAAATGAGCACTGCTAACTAAGCCTTGCTCTTCCATTCATTCATTTTATTCATCTAACAAATATTAATTATACTAGCTACTCAGATATCCCTGTTTCTCCTTTACATATTTACACTATTTCTTTTAATACTGTCATCTATGTATCACCATTTTATGTTCATAAAATATTTATGAACAGGTGAGAACAGATCAAAATGTAAGACTAAGTCATGATCATGACACCAATCCAAGAATGTTTATAATGCACTGTTTCCACTGACTCTTTTCAGTAACAAGGAAACAAATTCCATTCTTTTTATAAATGACTCTTTTCTGACCTTTTGACTACGAAAGGAATACATAGAAATGGTAAAAGTCAGTATAATAATTCAACTAAAATTATCGTTCCGATATTTGAAAGAAAATTCTAACATTCAGCATAAGTTATTACAACATTTCTATATCTCTGCGTTACCACCTGTTATGTTGTAAACCCTAACCCCTATACCTGTGGAAACCCTATGGGGCAGTTCTACTCTGTCCTGTAGGATTGCTATGAGTCGGAGTCAACTCAATGGCAGTGACATACCAGTGGTTAAAGGAGCCCTGGTAGCACTGTGATTAAAGCGATTGACTGCTAACTGAAAGGTTGGTGATTTGATACCATCAGTGGCTCTTCAGGAGAAAGATGTAGCAGTCTGCTTCTGTTGAGATTTACAGCCTTGGAAACCCTATTGGGTTACTATGAGTTTAAATCGACTCGACAGCAGTGGATTTGTTTTTTTTTTTTTTTTTTTTTTTTTTTTGGTTATACCTGTGGTTATGATCCCATTTAGGAATAGGTTTTCTTTGTTATGTTTCTATGTTATGAGGCCATATCAGTGTAGGGTATGTTTTAAATTAATTACCTTTCAGATATAAAAAGAGCATATTAGGACAGAGAACCTTTGAGATATAAAAAGAGCAGATTAGGACAGAGAAGCAAGTAGAGATGGGGGGAGATAGATGCCACACCAAATGAAGATCACCAAGGAACCAAGCAACAAACACTTTCCCCCAGAGCAAGTAGAGAGAGAGCAAGGACCTTTCCCCAGGGCCAACAGACCTTCCTCTAGAACATTCCCCTAGAGCCAGCACCCTGAATTAGGACTTCTAGCCTCCTAAACCGTGAGAAAATAAATTTGTTTCTTAAAGCCACTTACTTGTATTTCTGTTATAGCAGTACTAGATAACTAAGACACCACCACCCAATTTTAATACTTTGGGGTTTCCCACTAGCTGCTTTCCAGTTGGGTCTTACAGAAGGAGAAATCAGTGACTTGCTCCGGGGTATACATCGAGTTCAAACTCCCCAACCAGGAACAGTAGAGGAAAATACACATGTTGAAGAAGATGGGCACATAAAACAGAAGGAAATTGATTCAGAGGATATCTGCTCTATTTGTCAAGAAGTGCTTTTAGAGAAAAAGCTTCCTGTCACCTTTTGCAGGTGATATATATTTTTCTTTTGATTCTAAAAACTTATTAAAAAGTTCTAATTTAATATTTTTGCAATTGATCGTGTTATGAGGCGTGTTGGTAGAGAAATAATAAAAAGCTTTACCTACAGCTGATCTACATTTAATTAGTGTTCTTTTGTTTCCTAATGTAAATGTTGTGAGAGATCCTATTGTTACTCGAAAATTTCTGGGTTACATTTTAAAAGATGAGAATTAGAATGTAACTCCATGTGTTTTATGCACATGAACAAATGCTAGGGCTTATAATATTTACAAAGAGTTTTCTGAAAGTAAAGATTTTACTTTGAATTTTAAAAATTCTTTGCAGTTTTCAAACTCCCGTATTTAAACCTAGTTAATCCAAAATTTTATTTCAGACACAGTTATTGAGGGTCTCATACTCAAGGCACTGTGAAATTGGACTTGGAAAATTTGGGCAACCTTGCTTTTGAAACTTTTCATTCTTTGTTCTTCCTGATTATTTGCCAAAATTTTCACCCACATTGTAGTTTTTCATGCGACTTCTTCCATTGCATATTTTCAAATTATTAACTATTTCCCAAAATACTATCTCTTTCAGCAAACGTTTATTGGGCACTGCCACATACTGTGTGAATTCTGAAAAATAAGGTGGTGCCCCTGCCCTCAGTGAAGCATTTTATTTAAAAAATAATAATAATAAATAATTATTTTATAATTTTCCTTTGTGTTAAGGCTGTATTCATTCTCATCTTACATATAAAAAAAGTTTAATGATACAAAATCTTTCATCTTGTCATTAGAATGGGGGAGAGTTTGTGTTTGAAATTCTGATGTTCTAAATTAAAGATGATTAGGTATACATATAGGTAGGTAAGTAGATAGAATGTGTGTGTGTGTGTGTGTGTGTGTGTGTAATCAAGCTGTATCTGGAAAATCAGTTCAAAGTCTATTTTTATGGAAAATAAAAATGATAGCACAGAAAATTATACACACACACATATATAGATAATTTTGCTGTATACAAATGGTAAACTTGAATTTCATTTCTGACAGGTATGGCTGTGGCAATAGTATTCATATAAAATGCATGAAGATTTTGACTAATTATCAGGATATGACAACGAACAACTCCATGTTGAAATGTCCTCTGTGCAGGAAAGAGTTTGCACCATTAAAACTTATTTTAGAGGAATTCAAAAACTCAAGCAAACTTATGACTGCAGCTGAGAAAGAGCGATTGGACAAACACCTTGGAATTCCCTGTAATAACTGTAAACAGTTTCCAGTTGAGGGGAAGTGTTATAAGTAAGTGTCACCAGTAAAATTGTAAGTATATATTCTAATATTCTTTTTTTTATTTTTTTGTACTTTAGCAAACTTTAAGCATTAGAGTACTTATCCTTTAGCATGTCTTCTTCCTCATATATGTAGTGTGTTTGCCTATAGGATGTCTGCTTTTTTAAGATTTCCAGACTGGTGATCAGTCTCAGCCCAGTACCTCAAGACTCCAAATACTCTGTTTTCTTCACTTTCTCAAGGATATTTGGCTATGCACTCTGATCTAGGTTGAGAGTCTGAAGTAGCATCCTATCCTAGAAGCTCTCAACACAGGCACTATTGCTTTGGTCTATGAGTTTCCACGCTCAGATCCCTGCTGTGACTCTCACTCCCCTGGAACAGTTTTTGAACCACCAATAAGGTCATTGTGGAGGCAAAAGCTCCTTGGATTGAGCCAGGGCTATTGACTAGATTAACTGAACATTTAATCAAGTTATGTACTCCAAATTGCAAAGGGCGTGGGTTTTGTTTTCTTGCATATTTAGTACCTCAAGAACATCAACAAGAAGATGATAATTATTAGAGAAAAAATTTTTCATTACTTTTTAAGTAACCCTCAAACTTTCTCATAATTTCCATAATAAAACATCAACTAATTGCTATGCCTGAGAAATTGTTTTCTTGAGAATTCAAATTTAGGTCAATGGTATGTTAAAAAATAAATATTTTATTTCACTCTTTATTAAAAAATAATTCTAAAGCAGATGAGTTTACTTTTAAATCTTCCTTTGAATTATATCATGATGAACAAAATTAAATTTCATGTATTTTTTAAAAACTCTCATAAAATCATAAACTTTATCACCCTCAACAGCAAATGATATCTTTCTTCCTTGAGTTGTTTTAGTCCTTTGTTTTATGTGTAATATAGAAGAAAATCAACCAGAGCACCATTAGCAAGTCTTTAATTGGAAAATGGCTACCCACAGAAGGCTCCAAACAAGCATTCTAACTTAAGGAAGAAGTTGCACAATTTTCACAGTGGTTAAGCACTTGGCTGCTAACAAGGCCGGCAGTTCAGACTCACCAGCTGCTCTGCGGGAGAAAGATGTGGCAGTCTGCTTCCATAAAGATTACAGCCTTGGAAACCATATGGAGCAGTTGTACTCTGTCCTGTAGAGTCACTATGAGTCAGAATAGACTCAACAGCAATGAGTTTGGGTTTTTTTTTTAACAGCCTAGTTTCAGGATAGTTTGGTTAAAGAGAGTTCTAGGAAAAGGAAGAATTGATTTTAGGGATTAACAGCCATTTTGGGGGCAATTTAGATGTTATCAAGAGGGGTGGATAGGCAAACATACAATGGAATACTACTCAGCCAGTAGGAGAAGTGAAGTCTTGATACATACTACAATATGGATGGAGCTGGAAGACATTATGGTGACTGAAATTAGTCAATCACAAAAGGACAAATATTGTATGAACTCACTTATAGGAAAAGACGAGGAAAGGCAACTGTATAGGGAACAAAGTTTATTAGTGGTTACCAGAGGCAGGAGGGAGGGGAAAAGGGGAGATTAGCAGTGATGGAAATATCGCATTGGTTAAGGGTGGGGTTGCACAGCCAGTTATTGTAATTGCTGTTAATAAGTTGTACACCTGTAAAAAGTTGAATTGGCAAAGGTTGTGTGATAGATATATTTACAACAATGACCAAAAAATAAAAAAAAAAGTAACTGGCAAAACTGCTTATGTACAACCAAAAACCTCATAGGATTTAGTTTCTTAGTTTGGAGGTTTAGGGTCATGGTTTCATGGGACATACCTGTTAATTGACCTAATAACATGTTTAGTGCTTCTTTTCTACCACCTAGTTCATTGAGTAGTGCCTGGGATCTTAAAAGCTTGCAAGTGACCATCCAAGGCATGACAATTGGTCTGTATTTGCCTGGAGCAACAGCAGAAGAAGGAGAGTCAGAAATAAGAGGAGGATATGGAATGTGTTGGTAATTGCCTCCATGAACAACTGCCCTTTGCCATGAGACCAGAAGAACTGGATGGTGCCTGGCTACCATTACTGAACATTTTGATGAAAGATTCTGTAGAAGAATCCTGATCAAAAGGGGGAAAATGCAGAATATAATTTCAAATTCTCATGGACTCCAGACTTTTGGAACCATGAAGGCTGGATGAACTCCTGAAACTATTGCCCTGAGATAATCTTTAAGCCTTAAACCAAAAATATCCCCGGAAGTCTTCTTAAAACCAAACAATAGTTTAGCTTAATTAGTTTAAAAAAAAAAAAATTCCTGCCTTGAGCATTATGCTCTTTTAGGAACTATATGGGTTCAAAGTAACAATAGTGGCTTAAAAGTTTAAATAGGAACCCTAGGGGACAGTGAAAGTATGTTAATGGGGGAGGAACAACTCAGAAAAGGAAGTTGAGAATGGTTGCACAACTCAAAGAATATAATCAATGTCACTAAATGGTACATATAGAAACTGTTGAATTGGTGTATGTTTTGCTGTGTATGTTCTCAACAACAACAACAACAAAATAAAAATGTAAAAAAAAAAAAAGTAAAAAAAATAAAGAGGGATGAATAGGAACAGTTAGGGGCTAACTAAAGTCACATATTCAAGAAGAGTGGTAAGAACAACTCTGGGGGACAAGGACATGGAAGAGCCACAGTGTAAAATTCTCAGGGTTTCTAGTCATGTATTCCTCAACTGGTTAAGGCATGATTTAGGTAGGGTATCGCAAAGATGGTTAAATCTTGCTTAAGTGTTTTATTAAGGACAGTGTACTCCTCTGTCACTCTGAGCTTTCTAACTGCTGTCTCTGTCCTGGACTAGCCTTCTGTCTTAGTTATACCCTTTGTTAACCATTGGTTAATGGTATACCAGACATTTTTTTATGCTTCTGGACCTCATAGGTAGTACATTATCCCGGTTCTAATGCATTTAGCGTGAAGGTGGGTTCCTTTTGAAACGCATGAAGCTCAGCAGACCGGAGTTGGAGCCTCAGTGTTGTGTATGTTGAGCATTCGTTTAGGTGATGCTTCCTGCATGTGTTAGTTTTGTAAACTTTTGCCTTTTTTCTCCTTTATTTCTGTGAGATAAAGCTTTCAAGCATAATTATGGCTTTCCTTTGTGATAGCAAGCCTTGATGGGTTTGTTTTGGTTTTTCTGTATCATATCTGGAAAAGCAGAGGTTTCCCATGTAACCTAATGGAAAACCAAAAACTCCATTACCGTCAAGTTGATTCTAACTCATAGTGACCCTATAGGACAGAGTAGAACTGTCCCATAGGGTTTCTGAGAAGTGGCTGGTAGATTCAAACTGTTGACGTTTTGGTTAGCAGCTGTAATTCTTAACCACTGCACCACCAGGGCTCCTACTCCTAAATACAGGCATTCTCCACTGTTGTGCCCACTGCTGTACACTCTCCTTTGAGAATATCTTCTTTTCCCATAACTTCTGCTTTGTGGAGTTGGCTGACAATTATTCACCTCTATCTCAACCCTCTTTTATAAATTAAATAACTTGTTTTCATCAGCTGTGACTTCACTCTTCTTTCATCCCCTCAAGGACTAACATTTTAGTCATCACCCTGAAAAACTTTTCAATGGTTATAAACTAGGAAGCATGTTAATTCCTTTCTCATGAGAGTTTCATAATATAGGTAATTTATCTTTACGAAGTTAATTGCAGAAATATCAAATATATGTTAAAATGTAGAAATGCTTAACTTTTTCTAGCCCAGTATATTTTGCTGTATTGAATAAGCTGCTCCATTGCCCTCATCCATTGAATCTTCCCTGAATGTATAACGAATACATAATAATGAATAAATTAGCACTTGCCTTTTCAAAGATTTCTGAAGAACATATTTTTCCAAATTTCTCATGGAAATAGTCTTCTAAATCATTGACAACTTGAATTTAAAAGTAAGTTTATTCGACTACTGCTCAAAATATTATTTATTTGGTGACTATTGCTGCAAGTAAATTAAAATGCTCTATTTGCGACTAAATTTCTATAAATGATGTAAGCTTGGATTGGGCTTTTGTGGAAAGTGAAGTTGTTGTTTTAATTTATCAGTGATTTTTACTGAGAACTTTTTATACATTTACTCCACTCTGTTCAGTCAGGAAAGAGAGTGATTATAATTCCTGTTTTCAAGAAAGATGCTGCTCAATACACGTCAAGCACTCAATGAAAGAATTGGAAAAAAACGCTGGATAATCAAATGACAGAATGCCTAATCGGTTGTAGATGCTATAGGAATTTCGAGAAAGAGATAAATGAAAGCTGGGATAATCCAGGAAGGCAACCTGGAAGGGGTGTGTGGTAGGCAAAATAATGACCATCCAAATATATCCACATCCCAATCCCAGGAACCTGTATATTAGGTTACATGTCAAAGGGGATTAAGATTGCAGATGGCATTAAGGTGGCTAATCAACTGAGTGTAAAATAGGGAGATTATCTTGGATTATCCTGGTGACCCCAATGTAATCACACAGATCTTAAAAGTAGAAGAAGGAGACAGAGAGTCAGAGGGAAATGTGACTCTGGAAGAAAGAGATGTAACATTGCTTGCTTTAAAGAAGGAGGAACGGTCCACGAGCCAGGAAATGTGAGCAGCCTCTAGAAGCTGGAAAGGGCAAGGAAACGCCCTAGAGTCTCCAGAGTCTCAAGGGCTCATCCAACCCCTTGATTTTAGCCCAGTGAGACCCATGTCAGACTTCTATCTTATAGAACTGTAAGATAATAAATTTGTTAAAGCGGTAGTAATTTGTTACAGTAGTAAAAGAAAAGTAATACAATGTGTAACTTGGAGATGGACATTCTCATAACTGAGTAGTTCCCAGAGAGTTATGGCTAGAATTTTTCACCAAAAACCATCAAATAATTGGATTTTTTATTTTTGCATTTTTAGATGTACCGAATGTACTGAATATCACTTATGCCAGGAATGTTTTGGTAACTGCTGCCATCTTTCCCATACATTTACATTTCGTGAGGTACAGTATCCACCTTAAATTTAATATAGTATTTATATTTGTCCTGTTGTAAATCTAAGAATAATAAGAAGAGGTAACATTCTGGAATAGAGCTGGTTGGTTTTTAATAAAAACCTAAGATATTTTTAGGGAACTCTTTTACATAGGGGTGTACGAGGCAACCAGTTCTTATACTAGTAATTTATAAAATTAGACACATTAACCAACATCTGGTGATATTATATATAAATCTTAAATACAAGAATTGTAGCTATCAAATTTGAAAATTCATTTTAAAAAAGATTTCTACATTGCAAATTGATATATGATAGTATTACTGACAACCATTTATTTTTAAATTTCTTACATTAATAGTAAAACACAAAATTTTGTTGAGATCATTTGAACTGCATGCTTAAATAGTAGTATCTCTTGATGCTGAATAATAATGCTTTCACTTACTACACATGATAAAATTAAACATTCAATGTTATCATTATTGATCAATATTTTTACCTTAAAAAGTAATGTCAGTATAGTAGCTGTGCAGTAGTATAATAGACACAGTAATATTTTGTCCATTCTTTAATGGGGTACAAAATAATAGGTGTGTTTTAAAATGATGAGTCTGTATTATTCACATCATGTGATTGATATGCACACTACCAATTTTAATTCACAACATAAAATTTTCCATGATTTCTAAAATAATATCTACTTTCTACGTATTACAGAGGAGAAACCAAAAATGGAGACCACTAGAAAAAAGATCAAATGAAATTGTAAAATATACAGATATTAAAAATGAGATGGAAGAAAAGATGCCACATTTTCAAGAAAAGCAAAGGTGAGATTCTAAGTGAAATTTGTGTTTATTGTATTGGATAGGATCTGTGAATTATTTTGTAGTTTGAATAAGTTTTATTCATGCCTTCATTCAATAAATACTGAGCACCTTTTGAATACTAGGATACATTATAATATGCAAGTTAAGAGTGTTATAATATGCAGGTTAAGAGCAAGTCAGACTACTTGAATCTAATCCTAGCTCAACCACGTTACCTGTGTGATTTTGGGGTGTTACTTCACTTGTCTCTGCCTCATTTTCCTCATCTTTAAAATGGGGATAATTATAGAACCAAGCTTATAGAAATTTTGTGAGTATGAAATGAGTTATAACACATAGCAAATATTCAAATAATGTTATCTATCATTATTATTAGGTCCCTATGTGGTGCAAGGAAACCCTGATGGCATAGTGGTTAAGAGCTATAACTGCTAACCAAAAGTTCGGCAGTTTGAATCCACCAGGCGCCCCTTGGAAGCTCTGTGGGGCAGTTCTACTCTGTCCTGTAGGGTTGCTATGAGTTGGAATAGACTCAACAGCAGCAGGTTAGGTTTTTGTTTTTTTTTTAACGTGGTACAGCATAGGGTCGCTATCTTAGGCTGGGTTCTCTAGCGTATAAACATATAGAGAGAGAGATTTATATCAAGGAAACAGGTCACGCAGTTGTAGAGGCTAGAATGTCTCAGGGTAGAGGCCTCTCCCAATTCACGCAGCTGCAGAATTTGGCGAGCCCAAGATCAGCAGGTTGGAGAGTAGAGCTCCCGCTGACAGGCTGTGAAGGTCAACAAATTCCAAGATCAGCAGGCAAGACCACAGGATTTCTGCTGATTCACGTAGCTGCAGGGGCTGGCGAACCCAAGATCAGCAGGTCGGAAAGCAGGGCTCCACTCACAGTCTGTGAAAATCGACGAATCCCAAATTTGGCAGATAAGCTGACAGCTCAAGTCCCAAGAACCGGAGGTGAGACTACAGGAGGCAGCCACAGGATCCAGAGTGAGCAAAAAGTCAGAACATCTGCTTATATTCAGATGCAAGCCATACCCCCAAGGAAACTCCCTTTCATCTGACTGACTACTCACAGCATGTTCAATCATGGGAGTGATTACATATAAACACTGAGAGTCATGGCCCATCCAAGTTGACACACAACCTTAACCATCACGGTCGCTATGAGTCGAAATCCACTCGACAGCAATGGGTTTTGTTTTTTTGTTTTTTTATTTATGTGGTGAAAACAGTTTACACTCAGCTACTGACTGAAAGATTGGTGGTTTAAATCCACCAAGTGGTGCTGTGGAAGAAAGGCCTGGCGATCTACTTCTGTAATATCACAGCTATTGAAAATCCTGTGCAGCACAGTTCTACTCTTGAAGTACATGAGGTTGTCATTAGTTGGAATATACTCAAAAGTACATGAGGTTTTTGTTTGTTTGTTTTAGGTCAGGGATATAGTGGTTTCTTCATTGATCAAATGATCATTCAAATAAATGTAAAATTGAAACTGACATAAGTTACATAAAAGATACAGGAGGATTTGATATTTGCCTTTGATGTATTTGACTTCAGGGGGAAGGAAGTCTTCTCTGCTTCATTCTTCTTTCTTCCTACCCCTTTACTCCATCAACATGAAGGAAGAGTGCTAAGCTGACTGATCATATTTCAGAACATTGATTGAGCTGTTTACTAGTACACAGGCCTCTAGACTTTTTATCTACTCCCTATCAGTTAAATAAAATTAAACGTGCTGTGTATTATTAACATGTTATTTACACTATAAAACATACACAGAAGAGACGATTTTAAAAGGATGAGATAAAGTTGAAATAATTTTTTTAAATAATTTCAATGGATTAACCAAACAAAAATGATAGTTGTTCTCACTAAAAAATATAGTATGAATTTCTATACAAATCTCAATGGATATTTAGCCCATGCTCTGTGGGTGCTCCACATACTTTGGATATTTACTTGGATATCACAGTTCTTGTGAGGCATAAAATGCCTTAGGGGTATAATATGAGCCTATACAGCCATCACATTTCCTCTGGTTCTGGCTAGGTATCAAGCTTCAGCCTATTAGAGTCATGGGTTAGTTTAGTAGTTAGGCTTAGGAGATATTGAGGTGTGGGGTGGTCATTAGGGGAAGAGGGGCATACTAGGTGGAGAAAATGGAATAAAGAAAGGAGAGAGCTTAAGATAAAAAGAGTGTTTAACAACCCTAAAGGTGTAGTAAAATTGTAGTTTTTTGTTGTTGTTTTTTATTTGATGATTAGATGACCATAGTAAAATCAATTTCTGTATCATGATGGGCTATATCTGCAGAGTAGTGGGAAGTATGAACTTCTCTGAAGAATATGTTTGGACTTTGTTCTTTTGAGTAATAGGAATACATCTGTCTTTTTAACCACACTTTTGTTTTTAAATACTTGTTTTCTCTGTTTACCTGTGGCATCAGATAGCAGTTAATTCACATTGTATCATCTTAGTACATTGGTTAGTACTTTTGGTACAGAAGAAATTGGGTTGGTACTTTTAGAGTTGCATTAATGTAATCTAACAACACTGAAATAGTAAACACTGAAATACCCAAGGGAAAATGAATTTCTTCATAGATTACAATCTACCAATTTAACATAGTAACCTGGAATATTTAATGTTGCTTGCCGTGTGCCTCATTTCCTACCAGATGACAAAGCAAATTGGGTTTTTTTTTCTAAACACATACCTAAGTGTTGGCTCAGACAGACATAATTTGAGCATATGTTTTCATCAAAACTTTGTTCCAGTCTCAGACATTAAAAAGTGCAAACAAAAAATTTCAGGTTAGTATTTTTATTTGAAATGACTAAATAAAACTTTATTCTTTATGAAGTTGATATTAAAATTAGTTCCATCTGGGTTAGGATCAATGCAAATAGATTTTTTTAACTTTATAATGTATGAGATTTATAATCTTAAGTTCAAAAGAACCTTGGGTTCAGTTGCCTTATTTATATGGAGGTACACTATCGATTACATCCTGATCTGTAATCATATGAACATTCATGTCTTTCCGCTTATTCTCATTCAGCCAGGTTTATACACCAAAACAGATTGTAAAGTCACTGCCTTTCTTACTGATTACAAAGAATAGTAAATTACTTGCTCCAGGCTACCAGTGTCGACTTTGTTTGAAGGCATTTCGTCTTGGTCAACATATAAGATTGCTACCATGTTCTCACAAGGTAAAAATCACATCACTTTAGTTTGACTCCCCCTGTAGGGACAGTTTTCACAAATGAAGTGACAATTTAAGTCTCTCACTTTTTAGTTGTGTTATATACATACAGAGATGTTCAAATTACAGAGTATATGTCGAGGAGCTGCTGCAGAGCCTAATGAGAAAGCAGCTCTGCCCCCGAGAATAGATTCCCATTGATTAGGATTCATTTGTATATGTACTGTCTGGGGAAGATAAAGTGGCACTTTCAGTTAGATTTTGTTATCTACTTTAGTTATCTGAAAAAGGAAAAGTATTATAGAGTACTAATATGTTTTTATGTACTTTTACGATTCTTTGGGTGAAACAGAAATACCTAAATTGACGTAGTTAATTGTTATTTTACATGAACTCACTAGGATCAAAGTCTAAGATTGCTTGATCACTATATAGTTAGACAAAAATTAATAAACAGTTTTTTTCTGGAAAAAAAAGTTGTTTCAGTAAATAAAATTTTATAACTTTAGAGTCACCCTTACTTAAAATGTCTGATAGTTTGTATTCTTTCCCCAAGAATGTGATTTGTTTTATATCTTACTGTCATCAGATCTGTTTTGAACTCTAATTGGTTATGACTTTTTTATTTTTTGATTATTTATATTCATTAGAAATAATTAGACAGCAGTTTGGAATTAATGCCTTGAATAAGTAGTGAGTTTTTAACAAAATTAAAAAAGTGATAGCCATAGGATTTCCATTTTAATTTTGAAAATGAAGATCAGTCTGTAACCAATTACATTTATAAGTGAACCTCTTCAAAATATTTCCATAAAGCTGTATAAATTACGATTACCTTCTTTTTTAGCTAAATAGTGTTAATAGTCACACAGTTATGAAATTTGCATTATTTATATGGAGATATGCTATCGATTACATCCTGATCTATAATCCTATGAAATTTTTATATAAATAATATATATTATAAACAAGACAATTATATGTCTGATTAACTTATAATTTTTTTTTTAAGTTTCACAGGAAATGTATTGACAATTGGTTACTCCGCAAGTGCAATTCATGCCCTATTGATAGACAAGTTATATATAACCCTTTAATCTGGAAAGATACAGCAATGAATGGACAAGCACATCAGTTTGTTTCAAACACAGACATCACTCATCCATCAAAGCAGGAAGAACCAGAACTTTTTATTCCTGGTACTAGACTAGTCTTAAAGCAAAATAGACTTGGAATTTTATCTGGCATACCTCAAGGGAATTCTGAAAAGTTGGATACACCTCAAAGTCCAACACATATGTATCAGAATATGATAATAGATAATCTACACCCTATTGAACTAGGTGATTCAAATTCAAGAAATTTAATCTATGAATATAAAATTAGCCAACATTTCCCCAGGTATCTTGAAGATTTACCCACTGGATCACTTGGGAAAATGTCATCTCAAACATGTCTTCCTTCTATTACTCACAAGGTTATATGTCCTACTAGTGAAACTGGTCAAAGCCAGAAGATGACCAAAGACTCTAAGTATATTAACCACCATTCACAGAAAACTCTCAGTATTAAAATAAGAGGGAACAACAGGAGGTCAAATACTTTACTTCCAGAGGATTTAAATCTTATTGTCAATTGGGGTAAAACTAAACCTAGTTTGTCTAAAAGGTATAAAAATTGTATGGGTAAAATGAGACAAAATTGTATTCGTTTATCGAGAAAGCCTATATCTCATCCTTTAAATACGAAAAGTATTGAGCTATCGTTAATAATGGAAGGAGTTCAATTGTAAAAAAAAAAAAAATTTTATTGACATCTGAAAATATTTTAATATTGAGCATAAAAAATGTTTTATTTGTACAACATATAAAACATGTATACTCTTGACAAATGTGTGTGAAATTCTCTGTTGTCATTTTGCCAACTTGTCTATAAATAACTTATCACACTTAAAGGAAATTACTCCATTCCCTTAAAGACTTAAAGCATTGGATGTCATGATAAGTATGAATTATGAATAATTTTTAGAGCACTTATATCTGATTTTACACTGATTAAAAATGTTTTTATTTAAAATAAGGAAATAGATTTGCCTTGCTTTGGCTCACTGTTCAAATATTCTGCTTGGTAGCTTATAAGGTACTTGCACATTTTTTGCATTTTTATTGTCACATGACATATAAGAAACTCTAGATGGTGGTTTTCATTTAATTATGTTTCCTTAAAGGAGTTTTCTGATACATGAAATGAAATTGAAATATACTTACGATGTTATAAGCTGTGCCACATTTATACTGGCTTTACTATATTATTTTCAAAAAATATTTTAAGTACTATCAAATTTCTTGATACGGTGTTAAATAATCTGTTTTTTTAAAACTTGATCTATTAAAATAATTAACCATTATTTCAAAATGTTCATTTAAAAATATAAGCCTTAGATTCCTTTTTTTTAAATTCTGTGATTCAGTAGCTTTTCAAATTGTATTTTTTTTTTTAAATCAGTGATATAGGTTTTTGGTGTTTGTAACAAAGAAAAAACTTTACATGATATTTTTTGTCATGGTGAAAATAGAATACTTAGTTCTATGAAACAAATATTGGAGATACCAAGCAGAGAAAGTTCTTTGAAAGGAGCATTTGACTTTAAAGAAATGATTACTTAAATTGAGGTTAATCACAAACAGAAATTACTAAAATCTAGTTCAGAAAATGTAACTGAGAGCTTATTAGAACATGAGCTGCCTTTTAAAGTGAATGGAAGTTTGTCTTGTTTCTAATATACAAATGGATTGCCAAATATATTTGGCAGCAATCCAGGATTTTATCAACCGATTTTTTTTTTTTTTTTTTTTGTAAGATAGGGTTAAGGAAACTGCAAAATAATTTTCCAGTTAATCAAATATTATTATGTTCTAATAGATATTGCTGTCCCTTTTTGAAAGAATTCTTCAAAAAAGAGGGATAAAAACTGCTTGAGAAAGCAAAACAGGTGAAAGAATTATAAAAGAACAATAAGAAATTGGAATGCTAGTTGAGAAAAGCAATGATGCTGAAAAATTCATTTTTTTCAGTTAAAAGAAAGGCATAATATGGACACTTTACCTTTCATGGGGCCCTGGTGGCACTGTGATTAACAGCTTGGCTGCTGACTAAAAGGTGGGCAGTTTGAATCCAGCAGCCACTCCTTGGAAACCCTGTGGGGCAGTTCTGCTCTGTCCTATAGGGTCACTATGAGTCAGAATCAACGGCAATGGGTGTGGTTTTTTGGTATCCTTTCATTGTCAAACTTGTTAATGATCATCTGAATTTTATTATTGCAATTATTATTTAAGTTTCATTATTACAGTAATATACTATATAAAAAATACTCATGATTACAAAAGGAGAGTAGTTATTATCTACTGCAGTAACAATTCCATATCACTGCTTGAACAAGCCTTGCCCAGAAGTAGTTTGGATGTGAATTAGAAGACTTAATGGGAGGGCATTAAACAATGCTTTGGTTTATTCTTTATTATACAAAGTACGTCCTCTTCTATATCCAGCTTGAATTTCTGGCAGTTCCATATCGATGTACTGCTGCAACTGCTTTTGAATGATCTTCAGCAAAATTTTACTTGTATGTAATATTAATGATATTCTTCGATAATTTCTGCATTTTGTTGGATCACCTTTCTTTGTAATAGGCATAAATGTGGATCTCTTCCAGTCAGTTGGCCAGGTAGCTGTCTTCCAAATTTCTTGGCATAGACGAGTGAGCACTTCCAGCGCTGCTTCCATTTGTTGAAACATCTCAATTGGTATCCTGTCAATTCGTGGATTGTTGTTTTTTGCCAGCGCCTTCAGTGCAGTTTGGACTTCTTCCTTAAATACCATCAGTTCTTGATCATATGCTACCTCCAGAAATGACTGAACATCGACCAGTTCTTTTTGGTAGAGTGACTCTGTGTATTCTTCCATCTTCTTTTGATGCTTCCTGCATTGTTCAGTATTCTGCCCATAGAATCCTTCACTATTGCAACTCAAGGCTTAAATTTTTTCTTCAGTTCTTTCAGCTTGAGAATGCTGAGTGTGTTCTTTCTTTTTTTTCAACTCCAGGTCTGTGGACATGTCATTATAATACTTTATCTTCTCAAACCACCCTTTGAAATCTTCTGTTCAGCTCTTTTACTTCATCATTTCTTCCTTTTGCTTTAGCTACTTGATATTCAAGAGCAAGTTTCAGAGACTCTTCTGACATCCATTTTGGTCTTTTATTTCTTTCCTTTTTAATGACCTCTTGTATTCTTCATGTATAATGTCCTTGATGTCATTCCACAACTCATCTGGTCTTTGATCATTAGTGTTCAGTGTGACAAATCTATTCTTGAGATGGTCTTTAAATTCGGGTCAGATATACTCAAGGTTACTTCGGCTCTCGTGGACTTGTTCTAATATTCTTCAGCTTCAACTTGAACTTGCATATGAGCAATTAATGGTCTGTTCTGCAGTTGGCCCCTGGCTTTGTTTTGCCTGATGTTATTGAGCTTCTCCATCATCTCTTCCCACAGATGTAGTCAGTTTGATCCCTGTGTATTCCATTCGGTGAGAAATTCAAGCCAGATTCAGGAGAGGACATGGAACTAGGGATATCATTGCGGATGGATCCTGGCTGAAAGCAGAGAATACCAGAAAGATGTTTACCTGTGTTTTATTGACTATGCAAAGGCATTCGACTATGTGGATCATACCAAATTATGGACAGCACTGCCAAGAATGGTAATTCCAGAACCCAGTTGTGCTCATGAGGAAACTGTACATAGACCAAGAGTCAGTCCTTCAAACAGAACAAGGAGATACTGCATGATTTAAAGTTAGGAAAGGTGTGTGTCAGGGTTGTATCCTTTCACCATACTTATTCAATCTGTATTCTGAGCAAATAATCCAAGAAGCTGGACTATATGAAGAAGAACGTGGCATCAGGATTGAAGGAAAACTCATTAACAACCTGCTATATGCAGATGACACAACCTTGCTTGCTGAAAGTGAAGAGGACTTGAAGCACTTACTGATGAAGATCAAAGACCACAGCCTTCAGTATGGATTATACCTCAACATAATGAGAAAAAAAAAAATCCTCACAACTGAACCAATAAGCAACTTCATGATAAACAGAAAAAAGATTGGAGTTGTCAAAGATTTCATTTTACTTGGATCCACAATCAATGCCCATGGAAGCAGCAGTCGAGCAATCAAAGGATGCATTGCATTGGGCAAATCTGCTGCAAAAGACCTCTTTAAAGTGTTAAAAAGAAAAGATATCACTTTAAGGATTAAGGTGCACCTGACCCAAGCCGTGATATTTTCAGTCGCCTCATACGCAAGTGAAAGCTGGGCAGTGAATAAGGAAGACCTAAGAAGACTTGATTGTTAACCATTGTCATTAAACAATATGTGTACTGACCGTTTAATGAGAAACTATTTGTTCTGTAAACCTTCATCTAAGGTAAAATAAAAAAATAAAAAAAAGACTTGATGCCTTTGAATTATGGTGTTGGCAATGAATATTGAATATACTGTGGACTGCCAAAAGAATGAAAAAATCTGTTTAGAAGAAGTACAGCCAGAATGCTCCTTAGAAGCAAGGATGGTGGGGCTTCATCTCACATACTTTGGACATGTTATCAGGAAGGATCAGTCCCTGCAGAAGGACATCATGCTTGGTAAAATAGAGTGTCAGCAAAAAGAGGAAGACCCTCAACGAGATGGACTGACACAGTGGCTACAACAATGGGCTCAAGCGTGACAACAATCATGAGTATGGTGCAGGACCAGGCAGCATTTCATTCTCTTGTACATAGGGTCGCTATAAGTCAGAGCCGACTCGACGGAAGCTAACAACAACTAACACAAAATAATCTTTACAGAAGGTATCTGAGTTCTAAGAATAAAGGTCATCCTCTTTGTGTGAAAGAAGAAATGGCCTGAAATTAGCATAATACAGACTCATGGGCAGTGGCAAATGGCCTGGCATGCTGGTCAGGGACCCAGAAGAAAGATTGCAGACAAGGAGTTCTAAAGTAGAGGCATGTGAATGGACATATGGATGAGGGCACTGCCAAAAACCCCACCCATTTGGAGAATTTTCTCTCACCACTGTCTTTAGGGTCCCTATGAGTCGGAATCGACAGCAACGGGTTTGGTTTGGGTTTTGGTACTGTCTTTTAAGGCCACTCCTAGTGAATCTGCAGGGTGCTGCCATCCATTTTCAGTTTGCACCCACATACCCAGCTAACCCATCCAAACAGCAAGTCCAGGCTTTTTCTTCCTCTGTCAGTTGGTCATAAGGTGTGAACTGGGGAAGTGGTGGGGGAAGTAGGAGGGAAGGACAGTGGGGTGGGGGGAGGTGGCAGATAACGTGGGAGGCTGAGTTCTCTATTCGTGCAGCTTGCTTGTGCCTTCTGATACTGTTCGTGCTCAAATCTGATGTACGACTTCCATATTATGATGGATTGCTGCTGGGCCCAACCAACTTTATGACTCGGTGGCTCTGACAACCCCCTTGCTCATGACAATAATTTACAGTCGCAAGATCAATCACTTGGTGTCCCATTGTCAAAGGCAATGCTCCATCTCTACTAGGGCGTGCCACAAGACATTTTTCAAAGGGCACATAATTCTTTGCTACAAATTTCATAGCCTTGCTCCAAAACCTCAAGGACATGCATGTGATTCCCCCACTTGGACTTTCCATAAGCTCCACAAGTCATCTTTACCAACAACTAATACCTCTAAGACCATAGCGTCTGC